TTTTAACTCACCTGCACATGCGGCGGTGTCTGCAGACAATATATTAATGCATCGGCCACGTCTTCAGGCTTAAGCAATGGTAAACCGGTTTTRTCCTCCGGTAGCAGATGTGCTGGCAAAATCTCTGTAAGCACGCCACCAGGACTTATACTCTGCAAACAACAAAACACTCATAAGATCGCAAAAATCTCTTGGTTAACTTTCCACAACAACTCACCGTTACTTTCACCTTCGTGTTGTATTTCAAGAATTCTTGTCGATAAACCTCCGTCATAGCGGTCATAGCATATTTCGAAGGTGGATATAGATTCCACGATAAGCCCGGCACATTCGAAAAGTTATGCCCCGCAATGCTGTTAATCAAGAAAACATGTCCATCACCACCATGTTCGCGCATCGCACGAAACGCTTCGCGTGTACAATATGCCACGGCCAASACATTCGTATCGATCGTATCACGTAAATCGCTAGAGTTACCCTCACTCACCAAATCGCTGCCACGCATTATGCCTGCATTGTTCACCAGCACCGCAACCGGTCCAAATTCCGACTCGATCCGCTTGAAGGCATCCACAATTTCCTGCTCCTTACGCACATCACATTGTATGGCATGTAGTCGTTGACCGGCTTCTGGTTTCAGCGTTTCTCGTAAGGCTTCAATGCGTTCTTTACGTCGCGCTAAGCCCACCACCAGCATACCATTATCTGCGAGATACATCGCACAGGCCGCACCAATACCAGAACTGGCGCCGGTAACCACAGCTACACGTCCCAGCCAGCGCTCCATCTTCAYTTGGGTTTATACACGACGAGTGTCGGCACTGTTTTAATCTTTCGAATTGCTAAATGCAGTGCGRTATGCGCTGAGAAGCTTCTGCTTCTTGACGAAAATTAAAAGCCGTAAGAACTCTGCAGCTTAATTTATATTGGCGAGCTCTTTGCACGCGTTCTCAAGTAAATATTTTGGTATATAAAATGTTAAAGACGCAGATAAATTGGGCGTCACCAGATTAAGGCATATGTATACAAGTTAATGTAGAAATATACTGAGATAAATATATATTTCCTGGTTCGTATATAAATGCACAGTAAAAAAGGAGTCGCTTCAACTAGTAAATATTGAATAACCAACGAGGTAAAGTTTATCGGAATTTGTACTTTTGCAGCGGGTTTCAATTAACTATATTTGCGTTGCAACAGCTCAATTAGCTTAGAAATTTTGATTCTAAATAGAGTCGCACCTTGTGCTATTCAGACACGCTCAGTTAAGTTTACAAAATTATACACCATTAAGCAAAAAAGGTTGTTTACCCATGGGTACCCTATGTGAGCAAACTCTTAATTTTAAAGAAAATKTAATGTTTTATAAAACTTTTTAAAAAGACATAATTGAATTTCGAAAATTTATTTGTGAAAGAAATTTAGTAATAATTCAAATTTTCGGTGAAGAGTTTCAATACGCATTCCCAGCTTTAAAAGTAAGCATAAWGATTTGTTTAAAATAAGGACTTAATCGAATTAATTAACTAATTGTCCAAAATAGCATAATTTAATTKATTCAATTATCTAATTGTCTAAAATAAAATAATTGACTCAATTAASTAATTGCCTAAGGTAATATAATTGACTAGTTGTCTAAAATCATATAATTGACTAAATTAACTAATTGCCTGAAATAATATAAATAACTTAATTAACTAGTTGTAATTAAGAAATTGTCTAAATTAATATAATAAACTCAATGAAGACTCACTCGCTAATATGCAATGAAAGCAGATCACCGAATGACTATTTTTTTATTAAATAAAACTCACTGCAATTTTCTGCAATTATGCACTATGTCTATGAAGTGTAATTAACTACATAAATCGAAAAATTATTCAAGTTTTTTATTTAAAACTACAATATTTATTTGCAGCTTTAAACTGACACATAAATAATTGTTTCAAAAGAGTCCTTGATTGAGTACATTAACTAATTGTCTAAAATAATATAATATACTCAATTAAGACACACTCTGAAGTGCAAGGAAAGCAGATCTCTGGATGGTTAATTTTTTTATTAAATAATAACACTGTAATTTTCTACCAATTTAGACTCAATTATGTACTAATTTAATGTGTGTTAACAATAAAAATTTAAAGATTATTAAAACTAATTTTTTTTTTCAAAATAGGCTAATTATCTGAAATAATATAATTGATTCAGTTAAATCTTGCTAACCGATTAGTTAAYGCAGTTGAGTGGATGACCTTTTTTTCTAAATAAATTTCCACTAATTGATTATGAAGTGCATTAACAATCGAAATTGTTCAACTGTTAAAGTTTTCGATTGGAAAAGCCTAAATTAAGTCAATTTATTAATTGACAGATCACGGTGTGGCTATTTTTCTTATTAAATAAAAAGCACGCTATTTTCTCACTAATGGAGTTTTAATTGATTCTGAAAGGACCGAAATGGAAAAAAATTAGAACTTTCGATTGGAAAATCCAAAAATTTTTTTTATCTAAAAAGGTRCAAGGTGCATAATTGTTACAAAATAGGCCTTAATTTAGTCAATTAATTAATTSTTTAYAAAATTGTAATTGACTTAATTAAGTCATGCTCACTGATTAATTAGGCCAGATGACTTAACCGTTTTTTTTTTTTCTTATAAAAGAAAATTCACCATAATTATTTGCTTATGGAGTTGTAATTATGTTCTAATTGACTATAAAGTATATTGAAAATCAACAGGGAAAAATTATTAAAAATTTTCGATTMGCAAATCCCATTATTTTTTTAGCCTAAAAACTATACATTAATAATTTTTTCAAAATAGATAATAATTGAATCAATTAACTAAATATCTAAAATTCAATTCATTCAATTAAAACTTGCTCACTAATTAACTAAGACATACATATGACTAGACTGGTATTTTTACTATTAAATAAAATTCAAAGTAAATTTTTGCTAATAAAGCTGCAATTATACACTAATTGACTATGAAGCATATTAATTAAGCGTTATGAAGCGTATTAATTAAACACTAATTGTCCTCTAAGTCCACTAAGCAGTTAATTTTTTTCTTGAAAAAAATGAACAGTATTAGAATTTTATAATTAGTTTGTAATTAAACCTCCAGCGATCATTAAGTAACTCAATTAAGCGCTATCTTTTATTTATACATAATGCACTCGGTTTATTTATATTAACAATGGCATTTTCCTTATCTGCCTTTTGTCAACAGCTAATCAATATGCACATGCAAAAAATAAGTAGGTACTCAAAAAATATTCATATACTATATGTACATATGTATATCTATATATAGCAAACAGGTGTGGTTAAGATAACAACCAAAATTTTAATGCAAACTTAACAATTCTAACGGCCGCACGCGCTGAGTAGAAGAGTAAATTTCTCCGAAATAATAATTGACTCTTTATATTCAATATGTGGATATACGTATACTATACATATGTATATGCAATATTTATAAATATTGCTGTGTCTATGTATATCGAAAATTTACATATTTTTTGACAGTAAATTATCTTCGATTTCGTTTGTTTATACGCCATAGTATATGAATAATCATATATGTATATGTGGATATATGTATACTATGTAGTACGCCTATAACTAAAAACTCGCGTGCTCAAGTCGCACTCTCACTCTCGATTAAACTAAAGATGACAAGCAGTTTTTGCATTTGACTTACCCATATCAAATTCTCTGTTTGTTTTTATTTGCYTAATCGTGGAATTTTGCCAAACAAAATGCTACTCAAGTACCTGATAGCACAATTTCAAAGTTCGCTGTTAAGGCATATGCTTTCTTTGCATGACGCTGCTATAAATACAATAGCACATATATACATAGATATATACAACCAATTTGAAGGTTTATTAAAAAGAAAGATATTTCGAAATCGCTAGTATACAATTTACGAAATGTTGTATTCAGTGTTTTCCAATCTGAAATGATATTATACAAAATCCTTTATTTGAAATATCAGTAGAATGACAGCGTCTACGAAATTTGGTATTCATGGCTTTTAAATTTGCGTCTCTATTGTACGAAATCCGATTTTTGAAAAGAAATTTGTTTGGCAGCTGTTTGTTATAGACGTCCGATTTGGCCAATTTTTTTCAGTAAACCTTCAACCAATTGTTAGTAAATAGCAAACGATATTTTGTTCTAATTGGATGTTAATTTTAAAAACTATTATTGAAAAATGTGTTTTTGAAACATCAGTTTTATGGCAGCTTTGTTTTGTAGTGATTAAATGAATTTTGGTACCCACCTTTAACCTAAAATTAGTAACTATACTAAAAAATTGTGTGCTTGTAGCTTTCAAAGATGAGTCACTATTGTATGRAATCCAATTTTTGAAATGAATTTGATAGTTGTATGAAATCGTATGTTACAGTCGTCCGATTTTGATGATTTTAACTATCCTGTTATTACTAATGCTGGTAGATTGGTCAAAAAATTTCATATTCGCAGCTTCTTAGTGCAATTAATCAGAATAAAAAACTATGTTTTTGAATGATCGGTTCTACGAGCGCTTTATGTTCTAATAAGCCGTTTTCATGATTATATTATAATTTTATGATTTTCATATTCATTTATAAACTAGCAAGTGYTCTGAAAAATTTCAACTGCATAGTTCATGTACTTAAATAGCTATCATTATAAGCTTGTATTTCCGAAATACGAACCGTATGGTATATTTGTGTGAGGACTCTTTTTAATATATACTCGAATTTAATCATTTGCCATTTTTATATATTGTACAAAAAATTGGTATTTTACTATAAAGTTTCCTTTTTACCTCAAACGTAGGAATCGCGATTTATAACAAAGAAAATTGATATATTGAAACYATTGCAGTTTTTAATCGAAATCAAAATCGGAGAAAAATTGTTGCTGTGTCATTCAATGATTTCGTCAAAAACAGACATCTTATTAAGCAATCTTCGCTTTACTATAAAATAACTAATTAATTATTAGGTATCTCTGTTCACATTACAACAGTTGCGCTAATCACGTTCCAATCTTAGTTCAATCAAGTAGCGTATGTGCGCTGAACTACAAAGTCATGGTTTTAGTTTGACTATTGATTCTCACTCAACGTTTGACTCAATAAGTAAGTATAGTCAATCACTCAAGGTGCAAGAGTTACTGTGTACTCATTGCTTATCAAATATGCGAGAGATGAGCTGGACTTACAGATTATAGCTTGTTTCCTTCGTCCGATATTATGAAATATTTATCTCATTTCGTATAACACAAAAGCTCCAACCGATTTGCTCGTGTGTTTGTAATATATATGTTTTGTCAAGTCATTCTTTATTATGCATATACAGTCATTATAGCATATATACATGGGTATAGTATATCAATGGTGTAATCACCTCACGTACTTATCATGATATAATAGCATACCCCTTATCTACCTATATTTAATGCAATGCATACACATAGACAATGCAAATTAAATGCAAATAATTAATCTTTTTTTTTTAATAAATRAATATTACACATGTTTTTTGCAGTCTTTTCGTGCTTCATATATTATATATACTAGTATATATTTACATAAGGTACAGTGTAAAGTATAAAGCTTCCCGTATGTTGACTAAGAAGTAGTCAAGCGTTAAA